ATATATGTATTTAAATATATTTCTTATTTAACAGTTGGTATCAGCCAGACAGGAGCTGCCCATCTTGCACAGATATGGAGCCACATGGCATGACGGTCCCCAGCGTGGGGTCTGCCACATCCGCTCGTGCATGCACACACGGGGAGAAACCCCCACTCGCGCCGTGGGCACCCACTGGGAGAGGAGGTGAAGGGGTCTCAGGGACAGGTGTGCACCATTCCTCAGGTGTAGGGCTCCCACCTCAGTGCTGTGCCTCATCCCTGCCCCCAAAACCATTGGCCATGAAGGTGGTGGGAGATGCCCTCAACTAGCCCAAGCTTGGTGTAAGACAGAGACAGGAATGGCCAAGGTTCCTGAACTTGATCTCACCCATGCACACGTGAGCTCCTGAGCAGAGAAAGTGATGGCTGGTGCCTTGAAGGTCATTCCTGCCTCTGCCCTGCTTGCCCTGCAACTCCCCCCACCCTAAGCAAGGGACATGATACCATCAGGAGCAGCCTTGGACAGACCCTACCATTCCCTTCAAATATGCAAGGCATCTCAGCCCCCAAGGCCACCACAGTACCTCCTGCCTTCAGGACCAGGCCCTGCTCGTCACCCACCACCAAGCTCTCTAGAGACTCTGCTGACTTTGAACAGACTTACAGGAAAAATAAACCCCCAAAACCCACACATAACCTGATCCGCAGTGAAACAGAGAAGGAGGAAACCACAAAACACACGATTCCTCTATGAAGGTTGCAGTGGATGGCCAAAACCAGTGGCCTGTGAAAAGGGTACCCTGCATCCAGGCTTCCCCAACAGGTTCTCTTCTCCCATGCAGAAATTTTCTCTGGGTAGAAAGAGGAATTTGTGCATTTGTTGGGGATTTCTGGATGCTGGGCAGACTGCTGTGCTCATGCAAATGTGATGCATTACAGACCTGATGTGTCGTAGAATTAAGAAGTGCAGTCAAGTGGAGGAGACAGCACCCCACCAGTGCTGGTCATGCACCACCCCTGCTCCTGCACCTGCGGCCAGGCAGCAGTGCCAAGGTCCACTCAGGACTCTGCCTGTGGCAACATGGGAACCCTGCCCTGGGTCTAAAAGCACCAACGTATCTCACCTGAGGAACTTGGCCCCTTGGGGAAGTGGCAGTAGCCATCTGAGAAACTTCTCTCTGCAGTCCAGCTGCTAGGTGGGAGATGAAGAGCAATGGTGAGGAAAGCAGGAACATGAGAAAAAGAGGAGAGAAAACAAGACCAAGAGATGGGGCAGTGCCATACCAGCAGGGATGTCCTGAGAAAGGCTCCCAGGGAACAACGTGGGGAGCTTTTGCAGCAACTGCTGAATCCCTCCAAGTCCACAAACACCAGACACATATGCCCTGGGGAGCTATAAGCAGGACATCTCCCTGGAGGGGATCCCTGAGCTCCTCTTGAGCACGGAGTTGTGACTTGCATCACTGGTGCAGTCACACACCCCAGCATAATGGCCAGGAATAAAGGGGCAACATGAGGGAGGAGGTCAAGGGCCAAAGGAGAGATGTGGTTTTGCAACATACGAAGACCCAGGAGAAGAGAAGAGCAGGAGGACATATGACAGCTGCACTGGAGAACTTGCGTCCCTAAAGCTGATCATGTAAACCAAACATGTGGGACAAGATGGGGTGGAAAAGCAAGGTTGGAGGGCACTGTTGAGTGTATACCTCCATTGGCACTAGAAACCATGTCTGGCCTGTGTTGGCCTGCTCTGAAAATGTCTCTGGCAGCATGATGGAAAGCGGAGCACTGGGAAGGAAGGAAGGGCACTCGGTCTGTTATGAAGACTCTGGGTAAGGTTTTATACTGACACATCTGTGTTGCCTAATGGATGCATGGGTGGGAAGACTGTCGGGAAGCCTTCTGCTCCCAACAGCTCTGCAGGACACATGCCAGGCACCTGGGGTCCTCCAGCCACACCAGGCAAGGTCTGACTTGACAACTTCTGCAGAACATGTAAAATAAACCCATGGTAACCCTTTTTTTTTTTTTGTAAGCTAAAGAGAGAATTAGTTTCTTCATGCACCTGAGCAAAGATCAGAGCACGAGCAGAGTAATTTTAAAACTGCCACTCCTGGGTCACCTGTAGGGACTGGCACGGTGTGGCACCAAGGTGAAGGACATGGTGATCCTCTCCATTAGGACACACAACGCTGGAACAAGCCAGGGTCACAACTACCCCTTCCTACCATGGGCTTGGAGCAAACGGCCTTTCTGGCCTCTCGCTTCAGAGCAGCTCTGGTGAGAGTGCCTGGGGCCACAGCAGCCCCATCCTCCCCAGCCAAGGAGCAAGGGGGAGAGAAAGGTGAGATGCATGTTCCCTCGTGCAGACGTGTTAAGAGAAACACAGCGAAAAAGAGAAGAGGGGAGGGAGCACGGGATGGACACACACACGCGCTCTCCGAACTGGCCCTTTCAAATGCTTTCCGACCATGAAAGTATCTGCATCACCGCCCACCATCGCCCAAACTGACGAGAGAAGTTTTGCTGGAGGTGAGGAGGGTCTGGTTCCACAAGCCCCAGCCGAAGGTGGGGAGTGCTGAAGGGCTGCTCAGCGAAAGCCCCCTCCTGCACACCCACCCGCACTCACGTGTTACATCCCAACCAGCTCTGGAAAGTGGTTTTTTTCGGTCTACCCTGAGCAGATTCCTCAAATGAAGGTGCTCCTCCTGGTGAGGGGGACACAGCGTGGGGCCAGGGCAGGACTGCAGGGACCTGGCAGTCAGCACTCGTTTGCTCTCTCCGGGAAGAAGATTTCGCGGCATCGCTGGACCGTGTCCTGGGGGCACTGAACGCTGTGTCCCACTGTGCGGGGATCGTCATAGATTTCATAATCGTTCCCTCCCTGCAGGGGAATAGAAGATAGAGAGAACGTTAGCAGGGTCTCGACAGAGAATCCTCGTCCATGAATCCGCATCTTGCTCTTGTCCTAGGAGGAGCTGGGGTGGGAGCCAGCGGCTGGGCAGGCAGGGTCCTGCTGGGAAGGGGCTGCCAGGGCTTTGCTGGCCCAGGGAGGCAGGAGAAGCTGGGCTGGGAGCTCTGCTCCCTCCCTCTCGCCTCCCCTCATCAGTGCCAGGGGAGGAGCGTAGAAAGGATGGGGAAGGATCAGTAAAGCTTGTCCAGGAGCCTGGGGTTAACCCCTGCCCTGCCTGTGTGGGGCTAGCAGAAGGTGGGGTGGGCACATCTGGTGGCAGAGGCTGGCACTAACCGCCAAGGGGCAAGAAGAAGCCAGTGGGATGGCCAGGCTGTTCTACAGCAGCAAGGAAGCATCATCCTCCACCGCTCTGAAGGGAAGGCGAAGCTGCTCCTGCTGTTGAAAAGCCCTCTCCCAAGCGCTGGGGGCTCGTGTTTGAGGTCCCGCAGGCCACAGGAATGGCTGCCCCCCTCACGAGGGTGCTGGGGGGGTAGGAAAGCGACGCGGCGGTGGACCTGCTCCCCAGCACAGTGAACCCAGGGCGCTCTCCCCACGACCCAGCGGGCCTGCCACCACCATCAGCCCACCGCAAACACGCGCCGCGCGAGAGCATCTCCGCCCCTCGCACCGCTAGAGGTCTGTGTCGGCCGCCGGCGGGACCCAGGCCACGGGACCTGTGGCGGAGCAGCTCCACGCAGGCTTGCCGGGCCGAAGGA